CTTCCTGGTCGGAAGGTCCCGGGTTCAAATCTCGGCCCGGACAACGGCTATCGTGATTTTCCTCGGTCCCTCCAGGCAAATACCTGGGTAGTATCTTAAATTAGGCCACGACCTCTTCCTTCCATATCCTTTCCAATTACACTATCATTCTCTCATCAAGTGTCGTTAAATAAACTATTAATAAGTTCATGTTGTAGTGAGGTCAGAATGGGATTTTACACAGAGATGTGTCTGTTGATAATCAAAACATCAGAGGTGTTCGAAGTCGCATGTGCTGTTACTTTAATAAATAATTTTACGTATATTGTTTTGGTTATGATAGTCGGTGGCTTATGTAGCACGCATGGGAGAGACGAGAAATGCATAATTATTTTAAGCTGCAATCCTGAAAATACACACCTAGGCGTTTATTGTAGACGGAAACTTCCCAGTCACGTCCATTTGGCGCTGGGGTTAAGAACGCACATGGTTTTACATTCATTCATCTCGTATGTAATTACGGCATAGGAATTATTTACCTTGGTTACTCGAAACACAGTCCTGGAGGATCGTATAACTTTATGAGATTTTGCTCCGTGTGGTATGGCAAATGTTTACCGACGTATCTTTGATTTTAAAACAGGAGACAGAAGGATACATCAGACCTGTTCCGATTGCATGCGCTCCATGAACATAATAACCTGCTCTCTTACAAGTCTTGTATGTACACTGTCGATAAAACTTTTATTAAATATGACGTATATGAACTGTAAGTGTAGTGGAGTGATAATTTGCCTAATTATTTGTCCCCCGTGATGGAATTTTCCGTTCTTGGCAAACCTTTCCCACCTGAATTCCCGGGAAATGTCGCTGACTGACGTCAGTACGGCACTACAACGGAAGATATCTAATAGTTGTGTCTTTATAAACTTCCTTGCTGGAAATTCTGAGCCACTCGCATGTAATAGGAAACTACGTCAGACCCAGTTAACTAACTAACTTGACTTCCTTTGCGTTCTGGAATTTCTTTCTCGAGCGTTGCATCCAAGGACGGACAAGCCTCACACGTCGTATGATCCATCTCACTGACCTGGCTCCACGTGGTGAACTTGGGAGATTCCCGATTATCTTCGTCATTCGTTCCTTGAGTTGCCCTATCGTTGATTTTCCACAAGAATGTAGTTCAGTTTGTCTTGCAATAACGAACTACTTGGACAAACCATCACTGACCGACAAGTCTTAGTAATTGAGGTTGGTACCAAATTTTTAAATGTGTTTTAGATGCTCTTCATAAAATGAGGTTAATGAGTCTTAAAAGAAGTATGACTGATTATGTATCAGTCAGAAGTCAAATTGTTTATGTACACGAACAGAGATATACATAGCTGATGTTCGTCTGAATTACTCTTGCATTAATTGTAAAAATAGGAAAAATCCATGGCCATTACAGTGTAATTTAATAGCAAGGTCACGATTAGATTAGATTAGATGCAGAGCTCTTCAGCATGCTTGTAACAGACTGACATGTAACTGATTGTGCAGTCTCTGCCCATGTGGACAGAGACTGCACTGCACGGTAATTACCGAAGGAAAATGTCGCTTAAAATTACTGTCAGTCAACACGAACGAGTTAAAAGAAGCCCGGAGATCAAGATTTTGTAGGTTTTTTGAGTCTTGCTGTAATAACAAAGAGTTCACGCTTCAAGACTGTGAAGACTTCATCATATGTAGCAAGAAATTTAAAAACTCTTTTGTTTCTTCAGATCCTGTGCATTCGTTGGAAAATAAACTTGGCGTCCAGCTGCAGATGTGAATAATTGTTTCTTTCTACACCGGCATTCATTTGCCTTTCAGAAGCCATGCATTTTTTTATTTACTGTAAGAGACGTAGAGCTGCATTGCCTTCAGAGTTTGTTCTTTCTGTATGATTATTCGTCTTATCTACATGAACTATGCCCCATTATTGTCAGCCTTCTTGAAATGCCATGTCGAATGTAAATGTTTTAAAACAGTGCATCTTGAATCGATTGCTGTTCAGTTACCACGAACACACGAGCAGACCTTGTTTCAACGAATCTGAAGATCAGTGTCTGTCGGTGACAATCAGAAATGCATTTCCGAATCGTCACCCTAAGTTCTGAAATACAGCCACTTCCATAACAAGGCTTTTCCTTCTTATGGCGATGGAAAAATCATGAGGCCAGTGGTGCTTTTTTTTTCCGTTTTTACATCTAGTGACCCTGGGAGTTACATGCTCATCGAAGACATGTGAAATGAAAGTGGATGTTCCATTGCTTTGGGTAAAATGTCTGCCACCTCGGCCAAGACACGCTGTTTCTTCTGCTCGTCGTCAATGTTGTCGAAATTAACGTGGTTCACTGACACGGAAGGCGGTGTGTTAATGTCGAGCAAACCTGTCCACAACGGGTTAAGAAACGGTATTACGTAACGGCATAATGGTTTTGTTGTAGTAGTCGACATAGTAAAACTATCATCTGATCAAATGTAAGTGCAATTTGGCAGTCGAAATCGATCTAGCGATAGAGTTGCTTCGTGATGGGAGAGAGATTGTCCAAAACAAATGCAGCACTCATGACTGCATCCGAGACATAACGACAGAACAGATTACTCTGGTTTGTCCTTTTTCGGCCACATGCTCTCTTGCCTTCCTCGCCATCTGTTCAATTAAAATATTTACCTTATATCGTTTGTTGTCATGGTGACACCCTGTTCATGTATCTTCCTTTAGTATTTTCTCTGAATGATTGTTCCTGTAGTAACGATAATCGCATATCGAATTGTCAACTGATTTAAAGGTGCATTATTTGTAATTTTGTCCAGCTGTAACCGCTGAGAATTAAATCTGTTCCGTCGTGGACTTCGTTCGTTCTTGTAACGTAACTCAAACGGTTAGTAATCTTCCCTACCAGAATTAGTGCATTTCTGTACTTTGGCCGTCGCCTAGAATTCTTAAAAGGACGCGACGTTTCGGAAACTGAATTTATTCCCGTCCTCACGTGAGAAAAGTGTATAGTACGTATTCAGTTGGAACCGTTATAAACGGCTAACGGCAGACACGTCTATCTTTTGACCTGGGAACGGAAATATCCATTTCCGGGCAAAGTTCAGAAATCCAGTAATACTAATAGCTTATTAATCGTATAAAACTACTCATATATGTTTAGAAGCTTCTGGACCCAATAATTTCCCAGTTGAAGAACAGTTAAGATAGACCGTGTAAATCTGTTTCTTCGATTCAAAAGGTACTTTCAACTAATTTTAAAGATCAATGCTCTTCAATCCTGTTCCATAAATCAGTGTCTCCACCTTTCTCATTCAAAATATCCAGCACACCATTTATGTGCGCGTGTGTATTATTCATTACAGTGTCCTAATTCTCCATAATTCATAATGGTTTAAGTTATTGTCACATAACATGGAGTGTGAATTGTCCAATAATCTCCCACTTGCACAAATTAAACGCTGATAATTGGTTTGTTGAATATGTGGTGTGGTTCGGGCATCCGTCGTCCTTGTTTGCATCGACCGAGGCGATAGGTCAGATATGGACTATTATAATGCCGCTGGGAGACGGGCAAAGAGCATCCTGATAAAATGTTCTGTGCTTTCGAAATGGTGGGCTGGTGTCCGAACACGACGCGAGCTGCTGACGGTGGATTTACTGACGTCAGCAAATTTGTTGTCTGATCTGAGAGAAGACCTTTGGGAAAGAGATCGCTACCTAGGGATGCTGTGGAAGTTGCTATGATAACAAGGTTTCTCAAGCTCATATGAGGAAGGCGTATTCCATTACAGCAGTTCCATGGAGCTGATTGGTACAGCACTAGCGAGGTATCGATACGAATCGACCGAGTTACTGGTTGACCATTTTCTCATCTCATTTGACGATGTATAAGCTCTGTAGTTGAACAACGCCGTTTAATGACGTGTAGAATAACACTGTTCTGCAAAACGCATATTTCATCTCAGAAATTACTCGATTGGTGTCAATGAAAAATGATATTAGGGGGTTCACACGGAACGTAGTGCTTAGTGTTCGATAACTCTGATATTGTATCGGTAATATCGTAAATACAGTGAAAAAATGGATTTTGTTAACTGACTGACGAACAGCCGAGTACTGTTACCTTACCAAGGAACTCGTGTCTTTGTTGTGCCTTTCCTGTAATGTTTCCTAGCGAATTAAGACCCTCGAGAGACTTGCTGATTGCAAACTACTTTTCGCCAAGGCATGACAAGCTAATAAATTTGCAACATAAAATTTGGCACCGATTTGACCAAAGCTGCAACACGACACGTAACAGTGGAGGTGGGGAAGTTGTCAGGCTAGTTCACAGCGGAATGCGTCACACATGTCAGACAGCAGAATCGAAAATGCGTCACGATGGCGGAAGCAGAGGGCCTCTGAAACATCGGTAAACTTTTAGCAGACTACCGCGGATGAAGGCATGGACGTACCGTACACAAAGTTCAGTAAATTTCAGGAATGGACGCGGAAAATCAGACTAAATTTAGAAAAAAAAAAGCGTACTGCTGTTCGCAAAGTTTGCCTAGCTTGCCTGACAGAAAGTGAGTTAGCTTTTTTCACAAAATGTTTGGCGCCCCCTTCAGCTCGGCGCTCTGGGGATGTGCCCACCTCGCCCACACCAAAGGCCGCCCAAAGCTTGTATTTACACCCCTCCTGAGGAGTTTAAACTACAAACCTTTCAGCGTATATACAAGCCTCAACCTGAGACTTTGGACTCTGAACGTCTGTTCATACATTTATGGAGTCTGAACTATCGATGTAAGTTCAGTATGCATCTGCTTATATCTACACCCGTTATGTGCCCAGTGACACCCAGTAAGTTTAAACTGAAATCCAATATTGGATCAATAAGCTGATGGATGATGTTGAATTACTGGGAAACTGTCAGGCTGAAGAATTATCAAACTGGCATCAGTGCCCATAACTCCACAATTACACAAGGAAAAGCTGTACGGTAAATAATCATCTGAAATACAGATTATCCGCCCACCCAGTTCTCCATTTATTATATAATTGTTTGACAAAATACATACACACTGGTCCATGTGATAAAAAATACAAAGATAAAAGAAAAATGCATCATCTCTGCAATGATGCAAAACACATTTCTATATGGATAACAGCACATACCCAAAGAAAATGTTGCAAACAGATGGATTTTTAAGCCTGTAATTCAGACTGGTGAAGTGGCAACTGCAAAGTCAGAGCGACATATTTTAGAATTATAAATACTTTCAAGACCAGATTATTTTTCATATTTTCTTTTTCTTCTGAATTTCTCATTGGGAAATTAATTTTTGACCTTCGCGAAATTTCGGCAGTGAAAGAGCCGTCTGTAGCCGATTACACGTGGGATATCCGTTGAACACACGAAGTGTGTTGCCTCTGTAGCATTACAACTTAACATCACATCATCTGCACTCTTGAGTACGTCATTCAGATGTCAAGTAATGTCCCACTACAGAGCAATGCCCCACGTCTCCGTGGAAGTAGTGCACCGACTGCGACTTCACGATCGTTATCGATAATAGAGATGCAACAACAGAACTAAAAACCATTAGCAGACAAGATGTCGAAATTATTTCTTACAACAAACAGAGAAGACAAGTCCTCGGTTACATTTAAGTACTTACACTTAAAATTAAATTACTAATGACCAACTGCTGAGGTTAATTTGCTTCTGGATGAAGGTTTTATTAAAGAGCTTCTCCCAACTAGTCCATTGGATTGCTTTACGTAACACAAGCGTCCGTTTCTGAATCTTCACCGACCCATCACTTTATCAGTCCCTTGGCTTTGAACAAATCTCTCATGAGTCCTTTGAGGTACTTAATCTCCCGTGACAAGTCACTAGCTTTAAGTTGTAGCTCTGCATTCATGTCTTCCAGCCCTTTCTCTTCACCCAGAATCTCCTCAATCTCCGCCTTCTTCTTCTGACGATAACGTGTCGCGGCATTCTTATTCTGCTCCTTCTTTCGCATACGTTTCTCTTCGATTCCAGGGCGGGAATATGGTTTCGTACTGCCCGCACGTTTACGCGCATTCTTCAGACAATCCGATGGAGGCACCTGGATTAATGCTGGAATCCATTCAGGGTCATCACATGTTTCCTCCCCACTCCCACAGCTGCTGCCACTGGAGCTGGTGCAAGGACTGGGAGGGGCCACAACAGATGCTTCCCCTTCGGATTCCCCTCCTAGGCTTGAACCGGAATTATTTCCACTGCTGCATGATTCCCACGGATCTGGTATGCAGTGACTACTGCCGATGTCTACGAGGTGTTCGACGCGGGTGCGGACAAGTTCGTCTACTGCTTCAAGTTCACGGGCCAGATCTGGTGATGGTGTTCCAGGAACCATCTGTTCCAGGGTGAAGAGCGTTTCTTTTCGTTCGCCATTGTATATTACGGGAATCATGGGCGCCGCTGGAATCGGTTGAACAGGAATCATTTGCTGGAGGATTATCAATTCTCCTTCCTTAGGATCTTTAGAAGCAACACTGGTGTAGGGGGGGACTGGAGGACTCTGTGGTGGTGTGAGGGTGCCATTTGTCAGCTCAACTTCTCCAAACACAGTCTCAAACTCGCGGAGTAAAGACTGGGTGTCCTGTAGCACCACAGCTTGTGGCACTGGTAAGGATTTTGCCTCTGCTGTAGCGGGGATTACGGATGGAATTGTCATGACAGACACCTGCGTCACAACGGGGAAGGACTTGGAAGTGTCCCGGAAATTGTGGCCATAGCAGCGGGACTCGAGTCCTGGAAGTTCTTCAAATATTGGCAGGTCGATCTTTTCCTCCAACCAGTCCGAGAAAGGCTCTGTAAACAAAGGCATGTTCTCAAAAATGTTTGTCCCTTACAATTTGTTTTTCTTGAACACTTTCAAAGAACCAACATAGTCTGGAATAAAATTTACTAATACACAGATTTTAAATACGTGTGATCTCATTCGTGGCATTTCCTGTACTTTGTAGACTGGATGAAGCAGCAAACTACAATTTCAAGAATGCTCCTCCTCTAATTACACGCAGTTTTCAATCACTGAGAAAGTACAGGGACATGTGACAGAAATACATAAAATGTATTCGAATTTCCAGAAGAAAACGATGCACAGAGCAATGGGAACACAAAATGCACTAGAAAAGAGGGAGGAGGTTTACAGGAGGCTGAAGAAAGGTGGATGATGAGATCAAAATTTTGGACCTCCAATATGGGGCAGATGAGCTCTATGTAGATGAGAGAATAATATTAAAATGCATCTTTAGGATGTAGTAGGAGGGTGTGGACTAGAGTCATCTGGCTCAGAATACGGACCAGTGATGGGTTCCTGTGAGCATGAAAATGAACCTTCATGTTCTATAAAGCCAGGGAACTTTCCCTAGCTGAACTGTTCCCAAGGATGAGAAATAAAACCTCACATTTGTAGTTTTTCCCCCTACTCGCTTAGAACATTCAAAGATAATTTGTTTTAATTACTGATAATTCTGAAACAGCTTTAGTCATGTACCTCAGCATATCCAACTGAAATTGGGGATTCCCCTCAGGGGTAAAGTGGCCAGAATGTGAAGATATAATTCATCTCCACCTAGGGTCACAGTCTAGAATAAATGGAGCTTAACCTCCACATATGAGTGGTTGGAAATGTGTGCATGAGTGAGAGACAGCACAGTTACATTTTTAATAATCTGCCTGTATTTTAATTTTAAAATCCACCAGATGTAACACAGCTCACCTCTGCTTCAATACAAATAGTACGGTTATGATTCAAATTAAAAATAAATGGGCTTTATTTTTAAACGAAGTATAGAATTGCACACGCCTGGGACAACAGGGGCACATGGTGACTTAGAAACAAGCACCACAGGGAAGGCAGATGTAACACATAACACTCAGCACAATATTAAATGTTTACTAAAAATGCCTTCTTGCATTCTCATTTGGACATAGGAACAGCGTCCTTAACCAATCAATTCTTGCACCACACATGCCCCACTAAAATTAATTGAACTTTCTCTCATGGGCTTGTGTTACAGGTGACATAAACCTGTTCTACAAGTGAGTTTGCTATCTTTCGAACATAGCAATGAGCATTATCATTATCTGCTGTACAGACTGCGGAAGGGAAAGTAATCCCATGAACTCGATTGGGGACAGGTTTTTTTATTTCATCAATCATCAATATACCAAATTGCTTGGAATTTTGTCTTTCAATGCTCGTACACTCACTTGGAAAAGGAGTCCTACAACCCTGAGACATAAGATTCTAACATTCTACGCCTCAATTATTCAAAAAAAGTTTTTACCATCCTCCTCTTAGTTTTGTTCTTTAAGGTTCATATTTTTCCTCAAGCACTCTACATTTGTTTAACCCTTAAGGTCACGAGTTTCACCCAGATAAAAGAGACGATGAATCAAAGATTTCCGTCTTCTGGGTTGTTGCGCTGTGTAGTATGGTCGATGTTTACCAACGTTTCAGAGGTCATACTGCCTCTGTCATCAGGGCGATTCATGGTAAACATCTACCAAACTACACAGCGCAAGAACCCAGAAGACAGAAATCTTCATACTCACCGCTGTGAAAACCTCAAATCCTACACAGAAGATAAATTGTTTCAGCTTTATATTTTAGACAAGAAGGTAATAAACATTCTGGCCTAAGTTTAGGTTTCTGTTGTTGGCCTACGGTGAGCCGTGGTGCTTTATAGCAAACCATCGTCTTATGAATTGTATGATTTAATATGAATTAATTCGTTTGCCACTGATGATGACCTCTCGAGGTCGAAACGCGTTTGGCACCAAGTGTCTTTTCAGGTGTAATTAAATGTAAGAAGGTATGCTTCAAAAATGTCAGTATAAAGAAGTACCCACTTGTTCAGAAACCTTCAGTTTGTATCAGTTTCACCGTTCACCACTCTCATTTTTGCTTAACCTTCATTCTAATATTTACCCATTCTCATCATAAGATGCACTGTAATTTGTGGGGCCATGTTCAAGGAGGTAAACACATCTTACACACTGCAAAATACAGTATATTTCCATAACTATTTTCAGCTGACATTTAGTTAATTGCGAAACGGTTGACCACAGAAGGGAAAGCCTAAAATTCCAAAACATAGAAATGTAGACCCCAAATCACTTCAAAATATTTATAGCACATAACAAAATATATTGAACCAAACATGGGCAAGAACCAAAATAATTTTGATGTTTGCAGCAAAACTAAATCTGGACACAAACAAAAACACAATCTAGGGCAGAGACAAAATCTGAAATTTATACATGCTAAAAGATAATATGGATAGTTCCCATAATATGTGCAGTCATTAAAAATGGTGAATCTAAAATGCCAACGAAGTGAATGTAAACAGTTGCAAATGGAATGGCACAAAAAGAAAAATGCCCATTAACAAAGTGCTAAATTCAAACATAAATCTTAAGAGCGGAGACATAACTCATTCAAATTGGAAATTTTATAGGGAGAGATGGATAATCGAGGCCATGACATTTTGTTTTCATAGCCTATAAAAGCCATTTTACACCATTGTGTTAGCAACAATGCAAACTTATCTCTGGTATGGAGTAGTATTCTCAGTGACCAATATAAAAAACGTCACACTTATCTTATTGGCTTCCAAATACACTGACAAACCCCCTCCGCTAATATAAATTTTTCTTATAGATGAAACCTACCGTAACACGCAACGGCCATCTTTATCAGTGGAATGTTTGTCACAGAATTGAAAAAAAAATTCTGTTAGCAGAGTTACTGAGATCTGTTGTAATAATTATTTGTAAATGTTCTGAACACAAATCTTTTCTTCTCTCGTTTGTTGCTCTGTATGAATATATAATTCTTATAGCATGGAGAAGCCCTTTGGTAATGTTTTTCACCTTCTGTTAACCAATTTCTGAGAGTTCACTATAATTTCCTTATCCCAAGTATAGTGATAGCTGTACTTCATGCTATTGTACTCGAAGCACCACATCTGCACAAAACTTCATCTAGTTTTGAAAATGCACAAACACCAGCACAACTACATGAATTAAGCTTCTTGACACAGTGCACACAAATAATCACAATGTCCTGCCCTGGTCCCCAGATACACTGCACAACTGGCACCACGTAACTTGTCTACTGTTCAACTGATACTGCTCTAGTCAGGGCCTGACTAATCACATATATGCAAGCAGGATGGCCTTGCTCCACCCCAACAAGGCCAAACCATTACACTACTAGCATTTCTCACAACATCAGCTCAGAACTGTTCAATATGCTAATGTTGGCAACTATGAGGTTTCTCCTAAATGAGCCTCCCTCCCCTTTTCTGGCTACAAAGTATCCACTTCTCAAAAGATACGCATTACAGCATCCTCTACCTCTCCTGCTGCCATAGAAACCTTAAGAAAATCAAAGTACATCACAATAAAATGTCTTTAAGACTGCCTGGTAAGATCAAATGTCCATGTCATGTCTTAGGTTTATTAGGAAGAATAATTCCAGTCTAAGCTGCATAATTTATTTTCTTTGTACTGCTCATGGAAATGTCATTAAGAATTCTATCTTCACCAATCTACACACAAACAGCAAAATAGAATACATTTCATTTACAGCATACTCGCAGGCGGCTGCCTAAAACATATGGCATTAAAAAAATCCCTGTGCTCCTGTAAAAACAAGAGTTAAGTGATTTAAGAGTCCCTGAGCAAAAACACACACCATATGATGACAGGGCTTTGAAAAATATACGACTCTCTTTTTTTAAGAAAATTATATGGCAGCCACATTAACTAATTTGACGCAAAGTTAATAACTGACAAATCATTGAAACTTGAACTCTGATATTCATATCTTGCCTGTTACAAAGATGACCTACCAACTTATTTAATTAAAAAAGCCACAGTCAAATTGCAAAATTTTTGAAAAGTGTTTTAGTATGAGAAATTGGTAACACAGCTTACTCCATTACATTAATGTACACTGAATTCCATCAAATGCTATTATCCTCGATTCACATCACGATTTTATCAAAATTTGTTATATTCTCCTAAAACCTTGCCACTCAAGCATTTTCTTCCCTTCTACATCTAATGAAATGTTGCTTTCCTGCAGTTACTCTTCTTTTCTTCCTTCCTCCTCCTTTTTTCTTTCTTTCTTCTCCAATAAAGAAAACTCTTTAGACATTGTGACTTGCAGATGTACAAAATCCATCAGCTTGCCTGCTACTTTACTGTACATTTATGTACTTTTTTAAAAAAGGGGGGGGGGTGACACAAGGTATGCATATGGAAACTAGAACATCAATTTGGAGTACACATTTTCTGCTTTTGTCATAAAGAACACAAGTCACAGCTGATTAATCAGGTACGACTTGCTGACGTCACAATGTTTTGTCAGTATTTACACACAGCAATAAAACAAAATACCTTACTCAGCCAGAAATGGATGAATGGCAGTTGTTGCTTCCCACCAAACTTTAATAAAATGTGCTCTATAAGTTTACCTTTACCACACAAAAAGTGTCTTTTGCAAACACTTCTGTTAAAATGTCACATTGAGCCAAATAAGAGATCAGCTTTTTTGCCCCCAACTTTACAATCTAAAAACCTGCAGATCATATGAAATCCACAAACTAACCACATGAAGCAGAGTCCTTGAGAAGCTAATAAATAGTTGAAGATTTCTGTCTTCTGGGTTGTTGCACTGTCTAGTCTGGTCGATGTTTACCAACGATTCAGAGGTCACACGTTCATCGCCCTGATGACGGAGGCAGTATGACCTCTGAAACGTTGGTAAACATCTACCATACTACACGGCGCAACAACCCAGAAGACAGAAATCTTCATACTCACTGCTGTGAAAACCTCAAATCCTACATAACAAATAGTTGCCCAGCTATTTAAAAACTTCACTAACTTGTATACAACATGAAAGGGTTTTTTTTCGTGTCCAGTACACACCATTAAGCATGGTGTGCATTGGTCGTTAGCAGGATTCATGACCCATCAGTACATGGGTTCGACCAGGACCGCGACATTTAACGCTCCTGCTGTGACCCCCCTTTTTGCGAGATGATGATGAAAGTGGAGTAATTGTTGGGATGCCACGGAGAAACCGGGGAAACCCCGGAGGAAAACTCCGTGATGCCTGGACCACGGCCTTTCCCAACACAAGTTGTAAATCTGAGCACCTCTGGGAATCGAACCCGTGACCCCAGTATTACAAGCCCAGCGTTCTAACCGCTAGACCACCGTGGCGGTACATGGAAGGTTTATTGCTGTATTCACAAAAGCTTGCCATGGTTCTTATCATCAGCCACATTAAACCAGTCCACTGGCCCATGTCCTTCCTGAGGCAGGAATCCAGTCCACACCCTTCCAGCTGAATATTATCCATCCTCCCACGTATAATGAAATCTTCCAAGTAGTCTCTTACATTCAAGTTTCCAGATCAAAACTTTGTACACATGTATTTCATGCCCATGCAACTTATGAAATTCACACAGTATGTAATTATCCTGTTAGGATAAATGACTTGGGTGTATTGCATCGAAAGATTATTTTATCCCACTATTGCAACTAGAAATAGAAAAGTCAGCATAATGAGACTCTGCTTTTATTTATGCCAATGACGTATGATTTATTTTTATGTGATAATGCTTGGAAGTCCGTCTTCCTTGGAGACTGTCATCAAAACTTCCATCCTTGCATGTGTAAGCCTTCTGTGTTTCTTTTACTGTCAAGAACAAATAAACTATTTCATGGCCTGAACTGTTGTAGATGTCACGGGACTCTTCTAGTTAAAAATATTTCTCATCTGCATTGCATGGAAGGTCACAAATATAACAAATTACACTAACAGAATGCCACAGCTGGGCAAGGTAAATTCAATTTTTTTAAAATTAAATCATGATTACTTGCAGACTCTAATTTTGGTTCTGAAGAAAATAGCAGTTTCTACTGTTATGACTATCACTGAGATTTATTGCTGTCTAGCAGAGTGGTTCATTTATAAACCACACGCTATGAGAGTGGGAATAGCGTACATATAATTAATTCTGAATATTACTTTATACCTCAGCCATGAGCAGTTTGAAAGTTTTGATTTATTTTGTGAAAAGAGCCCAGAAGCTAAAAATAGATTGGCACCCATTTAACTTATCCTCACAAAACAGTTTTGAAAGTTTATACACAGACACCTCAAAATGCTGCAACTATTGGTCACATTTTTCATTATAAACATCAACATAGCAATGTGACATCAATTCGCTACCAATTACAAATCAATTTAAAGTTAGAACTACATCTACAATGACTATCTGAAAATTTGTTATACTCGCACCGAACAGCTACCGCACTGGTGACGACAATAACGCAAATTAAATATGATCAACCCATCTGCAGCTACAGAAAAAATACCAACTACTCAGACGTACCTTCCTTAATCCATTCATCCAGATCTTGGAGAAGTCTTGTTGCTATTTCAGCTTTTGTTGGTTCTGCTACTTTCTCATGTGTATGTGTTGGGACAGTAAGTGTTTTTTTCTGTTGTTGTACCTCTTCATCTTCAAACAATCCCCATGTATCCGTCACATTAGAATCTAAATCTGGAAAGCCCGCAGGGGAAACGGGCTCTTCCTTCCACTGCAAGCAGCTCAGCAAATCGGCCATAGCTGTCGGTCGTTTTTCTGTATCGCTTAAATGATAGACTAAATGTTGTGGCTTCTGCCTCAAAGATGGTGCCACGAATGTTGTTGGTTGATGTGAGTAATTGGTCTTCTGTCGACGATGCGACGAAAGGAATAATTATAAGCGCCATACTGGCCCTGAAACATAAGAATAACAGCAGTTCACAACAGTGTTTTCAACCATGGGCACGATAATTACATACATTTATTTCCTGGCTCTTTACGGAGCAGAAATTTGGCAACTTTCGGAACAACAACAAAAAATAAGTTGAGAATAATAGAAATGGATTTCCTAAGAAGAGCGGCTGGAATATCCAGAAGAGAGAGAGTGAGAAACGAAAGGATTAGAGGAATCATGAGGGTGGATCGAGATATAATTGTGGAGATAGAGAAAAGACAACTGATTTGGTATGGACACGTGCAAAGGATGGAGGAGGAAAGTTACCAAAAGAGAGAAGGAAGAGAGGAAGACCGAGACCAGGATGGAACGACGGAATTACAAGAACCATGATAGAGTGGAAACTACCTCCGGAAGGATGGGAAAATAGAGGAGAATGGAAGAAAATATTAGGCGCTGGAAGACCGAAGTAACGGTCAAGAAACGGAAGAAGAATTTATTTCCCAAACATCCCTAAGATTTATAGTGAACAACAAGGTTAGATATAAAATTATTCATATCAAGAATTGACGCTACTCAACTAGCTAGAGACCAAGTCACTACAAACAGTGTTCACACCAATGTCATAGGCAACTGGCATCAACTTCAGTAGCAAGTAGCAAATCTGAAACATTGGTAAACTTCTGCAATAATCCAAACAACAGACACCTTCTTACTTGCCATTACGAGAATTCAAAATCTCACCAACTCTGAATATTCAATTCACTTAATCTGTTCGAACATTTACAACTGGCCTGTTCTTAATTATTACAACTCTTAGGCAATTTGTTTGCCTGGCAACAAGTAAATTAGCAGTATCACCAAACTGGTAATAACAAATACCACTGCTTCAACTCATCCAGCATTTGCCAGATTACTTAGGCACTGTGTAGCATTTATTTATATGTCTATTCAAGACGTAATATCATAACACCATATACTGTCATCAATAGGCATAAATGCTCTTTGCATTGCCTTTTCATCTCTCATGCTTGGAAGTGCGTTAAGTAGCCACAGCAAGAAAAAGAATGTTAAGTAATCACATTATTTTCACATGATGCAGTGCAAACAGCTGTTTCAGGGGATAAGTCTAAAAGGGTTACTGAGATCAAATTCATACATACATTTATAACAAGAATTTGAAGCATCATGATGAAAAGTGAAGCTACATTAAGCATGGCCCATAATATCTGATGCTCAACTCATGCAGCCAATATAGCACAGTACAAATTAATTTTATCATAACTATGGAAGCCTTTCGTTACTTGCGGAATGCACAATGAAATTTCAATCCTGATTGTGTAGGTAGTATGAATGTTTAAATATTCCATGATTAGGTATTAAGAGTTACTAAATCCCATACAACAGAGTCCTTGACGAGACATGAACATGTACTTAGTTTTTGCTGCATTTACTTCCAGGCCCACTTTACTGTAGTCTAATACAGCCTCTGTGATGTTAACGGCTAATTCAGCTTCTGTTTATGATATCTGTGTCTTCACCCAGTAAATTTAAATTAACATCAGCAGCACAGACCAAACCCTCTGTTTTCTTGCTCCCTTCCTTATGGTGTATTCCAAAACTAAGTTGGAAAGCAATTCATAATGCACCGCCTTGTGTCTAGACAGGAAATACATCAGACAAATGTTTACCTATATGGACTTTATAGTTTCACAGAATGTCAAACTTGAGAATCGAAATCACTACATTACGTCAGAAGTGTATTGACTGCTGAATCAATATGCATATGGGGCAACGCCAAAATTACATATCCTTGCACATGCCAAATGTTGCAGCCTTCTGGCAGACATGTAATGAAACAAGAAATAAGGTATGAGGGGGAGGCATATTATGGCACTAAAAACAGAAGGCCAGTTATAACACACTGATCCCTTGATGCATCCTGAAAGCAACCCAGGTCACCATAGTTCAAATTTTGTTGATATTTTACAATGGAGGGTCGATGGCTTGTAAAAATTATTTCCAGCAACCTAAGAGTAACCTGTTCAAGTGGTTCCCCTTCCCTCCGCATTCCAATCTACGATGACGTCACTCTTCGCACACCTGCCCGACAACGAAATCTGCTGGAGATATATATATATATATATATATATCCATGTTTTAAGTCGGCGATGAACAGTTGATCATATAAGGTTATCTTCGCAAGGTTACTTTAGGTTTTATTAGTTTGTGTAGTTTAGTTTACATATGAATATTGACGGTCGTGATGGTTCTTGCTGACGTCACACAACCATATTATGGAAAGGTTGGAGGTCGAGGCGTGGCGTGGGTTGTGGGAGCGTGTAGGGGAAGGTACTTACTACCTAGAATTCTACCAACATTGAAGTAGACAAAACATGCTCGATTAAAATTATAAATATGCTGCTGGCACAGTACGTTAAGTTGCTGAAAAATTAATCTTATTAATTGTTCTGTCACATTTCGTTACAGATTTTAACTCAATAGTCTAATTTGCCGTAAAACAAACACCTTGTCTATCATGGGCGCAGTACCTAACGAAAATTTATCATTTACCTTTGTTCACCTTTTATGATAATATTAAACATTTCTTCGATATTCTGTTCTACATAGGTTCTATAACGTGCAGTTACGAGCCTCAAGAACATCAATGCAATAGCAACATTAATATTGTACTTATTTCCAAGTAAATCAACATTTATATACTTACTCCATGATTATATCGTTGACTGGGCACACTTGCGTGTGCGGCTGCTTCAAGCAACTAGAACCCCATTTTCACCCCGATTTTAGACGAGTTGATATATCGTACGTCTTGCTTCTTTGTGTCATGGAGATAGAATGAAGCATTGATACATGTGGCTACCAATATTACATTGCGCTTCCTGGCTTCATTCCTCCGCCAACTCTGGCATAGAAAGTAGTTCCCATGTTATAAACAATTTATTGTTACAATACTAATATCAGTACTTTAGTATAATTGTTTACCTCTATTTAAACTATGTCTTATTAATATAATGGCATTCTTTATTTCTTAAACGTTGGTTTTGTAGGAAATATTTAACACACAATATGGCTGCTATGTCTCACACTCGATTGCATCAGCTTTGGCAATGCACGTCATTGCCATTCACAGATAATTCCATGTGTGAGATTAACTATGTGTTAAAGAAGGTATTTAACATGACTAAAAATTATTAATAAATTAGTTAATTTAGAATTAAGATATTAAAAACCTGAATACATTATTCAGAGTGAATGGCTTGATGAAGATCGAAATTTTGAAGTGTCGGGAAACGTGGGCAGACATATTGCGTTGACTGTGACCCAGTTGTAGTGCACACGCTTTTTCTTTTGATGTCTTAAAGGTCATTGGTTATTGACCCGAGCAATTAAACAGTAATAAATATAAGGGGAGACCAAAACATTACAATTCCTACTTTTGACGACTTACGTGACATTTTTCTCAGCATTATTCTCAAAGACCTCAAAAATTTGGAAAATACCTCTGAAAATATTTTGTCCTGTGAACTCAATACGTTATTACACTGATGAGATCAAATTATTTAGGAAAACCACGACAGATCTCAGGATAATCTGTAAGCGAACCGGATACAACCCGAATGCTTGACTCGCATGTTACTACTGCGGCTTGAAAATAATGGAATTATCGTAAAATAAAATGCTTAATTGTCATATATTACAACCCACTTATTCGAAGAGATGTTTATCTTACACAGTTTCTGCTATGGCATGGCATCGCAACTTGACCTAAGTGTGATTCATAAATCGCATTACGTCTAAATTATCTTATGTTGACGCAAAAATTACGTCTCGATACAGTCCCAGGAATAATTCTTTTCTGCATATTAATGGCCCTACTAAAACGAGGGTAGCTGAAGCGACACTGTCTGATATAAACACGGGAAAGAACTTCCCGATTCCGCAAAAGGCGGTTTACTTTACTATCTGAGTAATTCTTAGTTTTTCAAGATCATGCACTGTGGAGTCTGTTTTTTTCACTCGATATGCTGACGAAATACAATGACTAAGAAAAAATCATTCTCACGAAACACTTGTTAAAATTGTTTTTGGAAAGAAGTTGTTGTGGATACCGATAACCGAACACTGACTGCTTGATTATGCTTGACTGATTCCTCATTTATTCGACTGTTGGAAAGTATGGGGGAGGAAACGACTGTGTCCTGTTTTAAGGTACTATCCCAACACGTGCCTGAACAGACTGGGGAAACTCGCAAAAAACGTTAAGAACAGTCGATCCCCAGGCCCAGGCCCAGAACCGAAACTGTTTTCTTCAAAATACGATTCATGTAAAGCGTCTTGTAATCTGTGCCATTAAAAAGGATCGTTAACAACCCCAGAATCGTCCAGCGTGTTGCAAGTGGTCAAAGACTGCATTCTAGCCTGAAGGATGCTTCTTGAGTGACCAGAGCAGTGTAACTGTCATTGACTGGTTTTGACAAGTAGACCGATTGGCCCGGGGCGAACAAAGAAATTCATGTTGGAATGTGACGACGTCGAGTTTCACCGGCCAGTGTGGAGAAGCAGCGGAAAGACTGGACGACTTCAAGCTTGCAGTTGTGCCTCTGGCTATTTGCGACGGACAGACGTCACTAATCAGCCTTCGAAAGTGGATTCCATGCCATCGCAACGAAAACTATCCCTTGAATTCTTTCGAACACAGGACGTTTCTGGTAACAGCCTCGACTTCCAGGCTTCCATGTTTCATTGATTTATTTGGCATACCTAAAAATACTTGGTAAGGAAAATGCACTCATGATTAAACAAGAAATGTGGTTCCCCGTTTAGAAATGGCATCATGCTGTTTGTAGGATTTGAGGTTCTCTCGGTGGTGAGTACGAAGATGGCTGTCTTCTGGGTTGTAGAGCCGTTTAGTCTGGCACTTTACCGTCGTTTCAGAGGTCCTTGCGAACGCAACCTCACGCAACCTTCTGCCACTTGTGTATCGAGAAGGCAGTTAAGCCCTCGTCTGTCACAAGTACGCAGTGCTTATTTTTCAGCAGTTTTCTGCCCCGAGAAAAAATTAAAAGTGTGTTGGCATTGCTGAATATCAAGATGTCATAATGAGCTGAATAATGATGTGGTGAAAGTCGTTTGTGGATGTGAGTCAATTTTCTAGACGTACTTTGTAAAACTTAAGTACAAGCCTTGTTAAGTGTACGAAAACAGTAGACCCATTATTATTATTGGAAAATTCGACGAGACCAGGGAAAGATGCTGTAATGAAGAACGCGATGAAAACGTGACAGGAGCTATAGAAATATTGATTATTCAGCAAGTGGTTATATTGGTCATTTCAGTTTCATCCTAAATGTGCGCAGGAAAATTATATAATCGCTAATGCCTATTTTGCCTCCAACATCAGCGATGAGTAAACCGCGCGTAGAGTAACTTCTACCAGAGCACACACACACACACACCCAGCCATGTTCAAATTCGCCGCCGTGAGAAGCTCAAATCCTACTCACAGTCTTTTGCTTGTGTAAATCGTTCCGTTTCACTCCGATTAGCGGTGGCGCCTCGTTTCCTGCGACTACAAGTTTTAATTTAATGCAGTTGTGCTACAGATTGGTAATCACGCCACTTAATGGTCTCCGTAGCATAGCCCGCGGCTGATTAAACTCGGAACAAGAGAAATTTATTTGGAGAAAAGTTGTTTAAAAGCGTCGGGAATTTAGGGAAAGTAACAATTTTTGCTGGCGACGTATACACGCATTGACATCGAACGATCTTGTTTTTGTAACACAAAAATTGCTCTCACGTAGTTGCGAGTATCAACACCATGAGGCGCAATTGAACAGCCTAGCGCGCTATGGCGGTAGATACTGGAATTAGATGATTGTTGAATAATGACTTCAATTACATATCAAAATAGAACAAAAACATATTTGAGATGAAGGTAATCTAGGAACATCGACAATTTCAAACATTTGCACGCTCAGAAAAGTGGTGAGAAACTTAGCTACAGAGGATATTTAAAGTTCGTCTTTTAGTATCTTTAGGTTATGCATCGATAAATCATACTAATTACTTATCTTGACTTGATTTATTTTAGATGACCATTGAATGCTTAAATGTTTTTCTTTTTCGTGTTCGCTGTATGTAACAAATCCGTCTGTCTTGAATATTCAGTAGGACCTCTCTCGTTAGAACGCGGCTTGCTTGGCAACTGTTTTTTATTTATTTTAGTCTCTGACGATTCCGCTACGCTAGCCAAGTCTTCGTTCACCACGTGATTGCTAAGCTCGCATCTTGGGGTTGTGACCCAGTGAGCACAAGACATGGATTGTGATGAGGGGGAATTGAAGGCGGGTTAAAGGGCGAACACGCTTCACGACACCGACGCTGATAAGGTTTATAGTCTGAAACAGTAAGTGATCCCTATCGGATGCTGGGTAACAAATCGTTGGACGTTTCCCAATCAGAATAAAACTTTACGCTTTTCGTGGAACAGCAACTCCGAAGTGAAGAAGAGGGCAACAATCAGAAACATTTCAAAATGTGTTCTATCGTCTTCCTATCTTCGTTTCTTTAGCATTAACCATCGTGCACTGAACCCTTGTGGCACAAATGAGAACTAAAAATTTGTGCCGTAGGACTGATTAAGGATGGAGGGATGGGCCCGAAATTATTTCTTGTATTTCGTAAACGATAGACAACACGAAAAACATTTCCAGTGGAAGAAGTAGTAAGATCTAGGCTTTTATTTCGTTACATTTCATGAGCCCTACCAGATTTTTGTTGCATTAGCCGGTTTTAGGAAGCTCATAAAACTTGGTTTGAGCCTCACATCTACACGGACCAATATGAAATTCCACCGACGGTTTTGTGTAACCCTTTATGCCTAATTTCATCGAAATCTGTTCATTTTTTTTAAACAGATCGTAAAGAAGGACGGTCGAACACAAAACCCTCACTGTGCTTTCTCTTTATATAGATCTGTATCGTGCAAAGAACGTGTAAAATGTATCGGCCATTAGGCCTAACAAACTAGCTTCGTTAAAAACTAAAAGTTACATGGCTGGCAAAGAAGTTCACTGCTGTTATCAAATGCAGTGGTTACTTATTGCCTTCACAAAAGTCCACCATTGGAACCTATACTTAGCCTGTTGAATCCAGCCCACGCGCTATTTCTCTAAGGTCTATTTATGTAGTCTATCATCTTCTCATCCACGCTTTTGTCCCCCAAATGATCTCTTTCCTGAAGGTTTCCTGACCAAAACTGTACTGAATTTCTTACACTCATTGTGCATGCTACATGGCCCGTCCATCTCATCCTCCTCGATTTAATCTCCCCTAACAACATTAGGCGAAGACTGCAAAGTGCATTATGTAGTTGTAAAGAAGCTGTAAACTGAGGATGTGATTTTGACGCCACACGCATTGTGTTACTTCTGCATCATTTGACCGATCAACTTGCCGTCATTTTTTATTTGCCAGCTTCCGCATTGAGAAATAACTCATTTTCCAGTGAAGGTTTTGTTTTCCTTCCCTCAGTAGATTTAGAGAGGCAAATACAGCACAAAAGACAGTCCATGCGAGTAGGTCACAGAACGCAAATCCAAATGACAGTGGAGACTCTGAGAGAAATGGACACGTCACAGTCACGTGCTAGATGCATTTGCGAAATTCGTACAAGTCAGAAGGGAAGAGACCTCTCAGGAGATGAGATGATGATGATATTGAGATTTTTCTCAAATAATATGAATGTGTGGCTTGGATTAAACTGGCTACGAATAAATTCCAGAGAAGGGCCTCTGCGAAAGCGTTGATGAGCCTTCGTGTTTCACATGGGACGAGGTAATTTATGACCAGCTGAGCTACT